AGGGAATTCAAAATTGAACGGCCCATAGGTATGCCATATTAGAATCTTGATACGTGGACGAATTATGCTTTGTAACATCACAATCAAGCAGTGTTACTTTTTGTTTAGAATTTTTAAATTTCAGAGGTAAGCCATGCTCAAAGAGAAAGTCACAATATTTCTTTCGTTTTTATATTGTTCATTGTTCGCCAAAGGCGAAATGAATATTGATGAATAATCCCCGGATGAATTCGACACTACTCACTGACCCTCAGTTGCAGTAAAAAGTAAAAAATGAAAAGCAGAAACGGATTTCGACGCTGAAAAATTTGTCCCCAAGGTGGATTTCCATTAAAAATCCAAAGCTAATATATATATATATATTTTTTTTTTTTCGCTTTATAGCCAACTGTTAACCACATTGAGACCTCCTAGAAGAGATCCTTTTTATTTTTCCCGGAAAAACGCAAAACATAGAAATCCATCAGATCCGGAGTTGGATTTCTTTATTGAAATCCACTATGAGGATGGATTTTTCAGCGTTGAAAGTCGTTTTTAGATTACGTGTTTTGCCGCAAAATCCGAATTCCCGATTTCAAAATCAAAATCCAGATTCGTCGAAGCTAAGAACCCAGATTTTTCTTAAAACGGTGTCTTCTTTCTGATTGGTCAAGACTAGCTCTCGACCCAGTTTCTCAGCAACCACATTCAAAATGGCGGACGAGCTGCCACGAGTTCAGGATTGAATCGATGTCACACTGAATAGTCAGTTTATTTTGACAATTGTATTCCATTTGATGACGGGTGATGATGACCAATCCTAAAAATCGTCTAATCTTCACTTTGTACATCGGATGTGTTCAGTAACGTCTTTCTACCATGTTGAAATTCTAATGTTTACCAGGAACCCCTCGACAGGTGAGAGACCTTCAAAGAACTTTCAACCGATTCAGTGTCTATGAAATGTATGTTATACATAGGAACGTTACTTACTCGTCTTCTAAAAAATGTTTCACTGATCACGAAGGAATGGGTTGATGGACAAAACAATGATCTCCAGTCCACGGACTTAACGCCCGTTGGATAACTCAAATGAACTATCCTAACATGCACCAACCCTTCGATTTTTTTTGTTTTGTTTTCGTTAATCACAACAAACACCACGATTATTAGGCGATTATTTTAAACATTCAAAATCGAAATGTAGCGTGATCCAAGTCATGTTACATTCTTCAATATCGGTCACGAACTAAGGCGAGAAATCGACAATTTTAATTGTCCTTAAGCTTCAGTATATAGGTTGACGCAGATGCAAAATGTATTTTCCATGTACATCAGTTGGCATGGCTATGTATGGAAGGACTTGCATATGTTTTGGAGGACTTGCACTTCCATTTTAAGCCGCATTGTAAACATATTTATGATCAAAAGAGCAACACCTTTTATTCTTTTTGTTTAAAGATTTTATTCTAAATGAATTTAAGATTCTATCATGGTGATTTATTGCAAGAATAACTGCTTATCACAGGTTCTTAAGTATTAAAATAAGAGTTAAAAAATGATGGAAGGTTAATCCCTTTTTTACAAAATTCAAATTTTTGATTGGGTTCTTCAAAGTGGACCTCAAAAGCATTTAAATGTAAATTGGCCAATTTGTCTCATCAGATTTTTAATTTAGCCTAGTTAGACATGGAGGAACCCAAGTTTCAGTTGTGCTCTGCAGGCATCAAGTGGTCTCCCCTGCAATTTTAAGTCAAAAGGCAGAAATTGTAATTTCTGGGTTTTTTGGAATAATTCTCACCAAAGTATCTTTTGCAACAAGTTTCATCGTATTCAGTTATCCCTTAGCGTATATCTGTCCTCTGGAACACTTTCTTGTAGACAAAGAGACTTGAGAATGTTTGTTATTTATAAACTGTGTGGTGTAGGAAATGGATTTGAAAAGAAACTAAATGAACCTTAATTTGTAAAACTTCTTTATTTTAAAATGAAGAATTTGGGATAAATTGGAACAAGTAACAGATTGTCTCTGTTATTGAGTGCCTTTTAAACTATAACAGAAGCACTTTGAAGATTGTAGTCACCTTTGCTTTTCTTTTTTGTGTGAATGAATTAAAACTGGAAAACAGAAGAGCATTCAGTATCTTTCTTTTAAAAGACAAATTTAGTTAAGGCAATTTCTCTGAAAAATAATCGCTGAATAATTTTCCTTAAACTTTCCTTAAATGTTCTTTACAAATGTCTGTTTGGAAAAATAAATTAATTTTGAAAAAGATAAGTCAATGTGCTTGTTTAGGAGATTAAATAATGGGCCAAACATACCCCATACCCTGTCATTTCAGCGGTTCACAGTACATTTTGCTACAGGTAGAAGCTAAGGTTTTTAAAGTAACCCTTGAAAATAACTTGATACAGTACATAGAAAGTTTGGAGCATATGGAACAATTTCTTATAAAAATTGTAGGAAAATCAGGTAAATTTAAACAACAGACTCAAAATGTTCCTTGTGTCATTCCTTTCAAGATCATAATTTGAATCCTTGAGTGAAGGGCCAATTTGTGCCTGCTTTTAGCTTATCTTTTGTCCCCTTTGGAGAGTTTTTTTTTAAATCCCAAATTTAAAAGGGGATAAATGGTAAATGAAAATTATGCAATAAAAAGTTTTGGTCACCGTGCTTGTTCCCAGAGCTAAAGATGGTCATACCTCTTTACCTGGTCCATGGATTGAAAAACAATACCATGTTCTTGGAATGTGTGTGCGCTCATTCCCCAGATTTTTAATGTACAATTCAGGATACGCTGTGTTAAAGCAAGGAATCACCCCAACATTTTCATGCATTTTAACTCTGAATCAAGACACAAATAATTGGTTGAACTGCATGGAGTTTTCTTCTGGGCTCGTCAAGACAAGAAAAATAGGGGTTAGTTAATTTCCAGGTAGGCATGTAATTGACAAAGTGCAAATTGTAGCTCGGTACAGTGTAGTTGAACTCACAGCAGCTGAGAACAAATCCTTTAAGTAACAGAGTGAAGAGCTTTAAGTTGCTCTAAGAACTTGGTAACACAGCTTCCTTCATGTAAAACTGACATGTATGTGAAGGCTCCTTTGACAGAAATTCACTTTCTTCATGTCTTGTTGTCCTTTTAATTTTTAGTCCTTCAACAAGTTTTTGTTCAAAGTGTTGAGGGAACATTGGTCAATATGACTGATGCAGAGCAGGAAAACAACCTTTTTTTGAAAATTTTCAACAGTTGAGGAAAGTGTAAAGATGATAAAATCTGCATTCATCATCCAACCTGAATCAAATCAGGATTTTATGTTAAATCAACATTTAAGTCCTCTTTTTTCCTTCTTAACTGTTTCAATTTTATATTTTTTCTTAAGTTTGGTTGTTTTTTCCCCTGGCCCAATTGGCTATAAAAACCAGGTATACAATTATATAACAGGGTAAGCAGTGGCCAAATTAATCCAGTAATTTGGGTGGATGATTTTTTTTTTCATGGCATGAGATAATAAAATGCTGATATTTTTAAAAGCAGATTGAAGTGATAATGATGCTGAGATGACTTAAGCAGCAAAAGTTTGGTTGCAATGGACAACATGCTAGATTTGTTTGTACTTTTTACTGGAAGCTACTTCATGAAGGCAAAAATAAAAATTCTTGGGTAATCTGCCCTAAATATTATGGTAATGTGATCTGTCTGTGATTAAGTAAAGCAACATGAGTGTTGAGAATGACAAGTGGATACCATTCTGTTTTACAATAAATGTCAAATTAGGAGAAGAACCCAGCAATGAGAAAAGATAATTATAGTGAAATGTAGTACATGCATCATGACTTTTCTGACTCATTGATGGTCTCATTTTGAATGACAGGTTTTTTAATCCTAGTGCTCAATTGGCTCAGTTCAAGGCTAGTTGTTCAATAGTTTTTTAAAATAGTCTGCCAATGATCTTTGTAGTTCTCCTTGAGCCTTCATTTTACTTCACCTTGTATCTTAAAATATATGGATTGTGAAATATTATTGTAAATGTGACATTCACATGAATTTTGTCAGCATTATTGGAGACATTGTGGCTGAGTGCTTGGGGTGCTTGACTTGTACTCTTGTGGTCCTGAGTTCAGCTTTTCACCCTGTTGCTCACTGGATTTGTTTTTAGTTGCCCCTAGTTTAACTCTTAGGCTGTGCTTTGTAAAAAGCCAACTGGCTTGCCTGTGTCCAAAATATCACAAGTTTTCAATAAGTATTCTCACTTCAGATAACCGAGGGCATCGCTGGTAAACATTGCTACCTCTGTGGTGGCTGTTTTTTTCCCTTTGCATCTTAAATTTTAAGATTTCATAAGTTACTTAGCTTCTACTGGCAAATTACAGAGCGTAGTAAAGAAGTACCGTTGGAATCACTATTCTGGAAAGTTAATTGATTAACACTGTGAGCTTGAAGAACCAAAACAGACAGAGTGTCCCCTATGACTGTTCATTCATAAAAGAATTAATTATTGGTGATACTCTTGCAGAAGATGTAAAACAGTTGGATTCCCTCTTGGACATGTAAAAATTAACTCAAGACGTGTTGCGGAAACAGGAAGAGCAAGAATTGACCATTAAGAAATTTAGGAACAAAGTGGACTGTATGACTGATGAAATGAAAATGTTTCAAAGAATTACTACGGAGGATGCTACGCTTAAACAAGTGAGTAAGGTTAGCATGAACTAACGAGTTAACTGTTAAAATCAATAGCTTTTCTTACTGTTTTTAAAAACAGGTGCCAAGTGATCAGTACCGTAATGATTCGATTTGGCGCCCTCGTGCTAAAAGCGACCCCTCTGTTTTAAGCACCCCCTTTCTAATAAGCACTCTCTCTAATAAGCACCTCCTCTAATATAATAAGTACCCCCTCTAATAAGTGCCCTCTCTTTAATAAGCACCCCCCCTCTGATAAGCATTCCCTCTTTAATAGGCGCCCCCTCTAATAAGCACCTGCATATTTGAAGGTGGTTCACCTTCCTTTAATTGCTTACTTCAAACCGATTGTTCCACGGGAGCTTATCAGATTCCAACTACATTCATAAAGCTAGAGGTTATATAACTGAAGCATACTTCCCAAAGCTTTGGAAGATCGCCAGAGTGTCGCCCATACCCAAGGTAGACAACCCAACGACCAATGAGGAACTAAGACCAATCTCGATATTACCGGTGTTGTCTAAGTTGTTCAAAAGGTTGGTCGGCTGGTAGATGTCGGAGTTCGCAAATAGCGACTCTCTTCTTCATGATAACATTTCCAGTTTCCGTGAAGGGCACTCTACCACTACTACCCTTCTTGGAATAAGAGATGATATAAAGCGCGCTATGAAAAGGAAAGAGGTCACCTTGATGGTTCTCTTTTCTAAGGCCTTTGATACGGTTTGTTTCAAGACGACGCTAAAGAAATTCTACAAACTCGGTTTATCCAAAAACTATTTAAAATGGCTCCTCAGCTATTTATCTGGTCGAACACAATTCGTACAAATTGATGACACTAAATCACAC